TTATTTACTCCAATACAACTAGAATCTAGTATAGACTGTCTAGACGCCATCTTTTTTTTAATCACAGGTTTCCTACAAGATAAATGTTTTTAGTGTTTCAAAGCAAGTCTGGTGGCGTTTTTTAAAAACAGTTTTTGTGCGGGCTGAGAGACTCAATTGCTAAAGGAGTAGAGGAGGTATCTGAGAGAATGCCATGAACATTAGACTAATTCAGCCACAGTAATGTCTTTACTAATGGATAGGCCTCTCAAACTAGAGACACCATTTTCAAAATCAAATACATATTGACCCTTATTTCAGAAATGTCAAACATGATGTAAATAAGTTCTTAGCACATCACATGCTTTAGAAAGCGCATGAGAAAGACCTGAAATGAAGCTATACTTTGAGGATAGTCACCTCTAAGATAACTTATTTTTAAGTGCAAGCTACAGATTATAGACAACAAAGATAGAGATGTGGTCATCAAAAAGCAGAATTATCACTTTAGCTTCCCACCTTTGACACAAACAGAGTGATATTTCTTGCTGAGACTAAAAGCAACCATAGGCTGGCATTCCTAAACTGCTACCTGGACAATGTGCACAGTATTTGTACTTCAAAGGCACCTCTACATGTATAAAGCTCAAGTGTATCACCATGCTTTGCACTGAGAACAGTATATACTGAGTAAACTCACAGTGTCTTAATAGAAGAATAATCTAATCCAAAAACCTGGCACAATACGAACCTAAGTAGATGAAGAAAATGCTGCTTTTTGACTTGTCATCAGTGTTGGACATTAGTTTTTTATCAATTAAAATGCATTTTTCATCTGTTTGCAAAGGCTTCTGTACTTTGATCCAACCCAAATGACAGCACTTCCATTACCAAACATGACAAATGTTTGAACTAATGGGAGACAGGATTATTGCAATGGCTTTAGAGGGGGCATGGCTAAGCTTGGTCAGGCCACGATGGTGGGTTTAAGAGGTTCTACAAACCATGGCTTTACTGACTTTTTCATTCACTGAGACAATTTGACATCCTCCTCTCTCAAGCAGCCAACATACAGGAGTACAATTACCACAATGTCATGAGCCTGTGGAGCTCGGCTGAAAGATGCTACTGGGTTTCTGGAGCAGGACCACAGGCAGTGCCATGACTACCAACAGCCCACTCTGCACTGCTTCACAAAGTCATTTGTTTTCTGCACTGAAGATGCACAGAATCATCATGAAGGAGCACAGGATGTGATCCAGGCTTATTTAATATAAACAGTCTGTTCTGTGCTTGTCTTTCATCACTCAGATTTGTTAAATATTATGCAAAAAATGACATAACACATGCTTTCAATTTCCAATTCCACTTCCACAGGTCCTTTTTTTTCCAGGGAAACAATAAAGGAGAGAGATTTATTCTAGCACTCTTCCAGTCATTACAAACACAGGAGTAATAAGGCACAGTACACACATAGCTTAGTAATCGTTAGGTGCTAGCCATTCCCTTCTGTTCCCAATCCACAAATCTGGTAATGTCACATTTCCCAGTGTGGGAGTATGAATTCTCTGCTCAAGCTGTTGAGACACCTCCTTATAGTTTCCGGTGGCTACAGAGGCAGTGCATTTCAGATGAACCTCAAATCCTCAGTATGGGCTTCTGTATTCTAGGAGTCTGAAATCCCCAGGGCCAAAGTTTTTTAAAATTACCCCCAGGACCCAAATTATAGATTTATCCCAAAGCTCCATTTGGCAGGCATGGGGTCCAATCTCAGCTGATGAAGCTGGCTCTGCTGCACTAAAGCCAGAGAAGCCAGAGGTGATTCACATCCCTGACAAAGTGGTCAGAAGCCTTAACAGTCACCAGATACTGCTTTTAAAAGCTATTCTCCACCATGATGGAAAGTATAAGGCAGACTAAAAGTACTAAAAAAAAAAAGGGTACTAAAAGCTTTTATGTTTAGAATTTCTTTCATAAGATACTTTTCTGAGGACTAAGATGACTGCTACTCCTGAAATGAACATTAAACTATACAGTGCAACTCTGAAGCTGTCAGTTTAACATCTGTAAAAAGAAAAATCATAGTGTAGCATTACTTTGAAAAGCACAGTTTAGCCAGTGAAAGATGATATAGTTACAGAGCAAGAAATTGTGCTTGAATTAGTGTATGAGCAATCTGGAAGAGTTAACTCAGTGCAGACAACCAACATAGAGTGGATGTTACATAAAAAAGGCATTTGATTAAGCAGCTTACTGAGTGTTTACCAGTAAAGTACAGGAAAAAATTTGGAAACCTTTGTGGTACAGAAGGAATTGTGTCTAAAATGGTTGAGGAGAGAATGTAATCACAAATAAAGAATGATTCTAACTTAACACCTTAAACACTAATTAAATCATCTGACTTTGGGTTTGGTCTGGTTTTTCAACAATTATATTATTATGGACTAAAGTATGACTTGGATTATCTGCCTGTGAAAATGAGGAAGAATGAAAAACAACCAAATAAAATCTTTCCTTGAAAATCTGTATTGGCTGTCAGGAGATCTGTCCTGGGCATACAATGAAGAGAGGAGTGCAAATGCTTACTGGGTTTAAAGAACCAGTGAAGAAGGAACAAACAGAACTTTGCCTTTAATACATCTGCCTTCTGGGACTCTCCCAACCTATATGTCGTCCAGAGAGGCTCAGGCATAGAAAGATAAGAGTGAAAGAGAAATTATCTTCAGAAACTGTGAGGAGCAGTAGAACACTTTTGACTTTGAGAGGTGCTTCAAAATCAAATCTGCCAGGGTTAGGTCTGGCTGAAGAGGCTCACATAAAAATCTCTTTTCTTAGGATTGTATCCTAGGTCTGTAGTAAATACTCTCCCAAGAGCAAGAGCAGAGTCTGTCTGAGAGCCTCCTCCTGATCCAGTTCTGTTTAGCTCATTAAAGTTTCAGGAGTTTGGGGGTCCTTTTGGAGTTCCTAAGTATGGCTCGAGGTACCTGAATTTCCATGCCTTCCCCCTCCTGGACCGCTGCCTTTCATGAGTGTTTTGCTTAGAGATACTGCCTCTCTTTTCGGTGTCCCCCTGCTTTAGTTTTCTGAATCCTCCTTGGCCACACAATTGCGTTCAATGTCAATTATTTTTATTTACTGAACACATCAAACAAGACTCAGTTTCATCTTCCCTGAGAAATGTATAACTTCAGTCTCTGCTAGATTACTGAGGCAAACAGTTAATTCAATCAAGGAATTTATATTAAAGGGTGCTGATTCTGTCAATAACCTCGTCTCTTACTTCTCAGATGTTGCACCGTTTCGCTCAGTGACCTCTTGTTCCACATCCTTGAAAAAACAACATTCCACTTCTTATGATCACTTGTCAATCTTCCATACATTACCTACCTTCTGGTTTTCTTTCTAGAAAAAGTTTTTATAACTACAAGGTAAGTTGTGTGAAAAAAGAAATTGTGAGGAAAATAAAATCTTGTGCAGGATTATGGGATTTTGCATGGCTTGATAGGTATGTATTAATACAAAAATAAACACATGCAGTATATGTGAAGGACTGCAGATATTTGATTATTTTTGCTTTCACTGTAAGGTTTATGTGATATACTGACATTTGGTATTCCTATAAACCATTTGGAAGAGTTAAGTTAAGACGATGTAAATTAAAGCCTCACAGAATTTTTTTTAACCTTAGCATTTTAGATATAAATGTATGTATTTTATACTACCCACCATACATTACTGCATTATTCTGATCTTATATGGTTGTGTCAGATTTCTCTCTGCCAGCATTAAAATGGCAGAAAGGAAAAAGCAAAAGTACAGCAGAAAGAAGGTAGCTACAGAAGGTGGTCATCTCTCAGTAGAATGAAAGATACTGGCTTGTGGTGTAACAGTGAACTGAATTGACACCAACAAGTTGAACTGTGTATAACAAAAGCCTTCAGATTTCAGGAAAAATCCTTGAAACTTATCTCTGTCTCATGCTTTGCGGGGGCTGGGGAACAGGGGTGGGCAGACCTAGCCTTTGTATTTGCAATTCTGGCAAAGAAGAGATAGGAAACAAACCCATTCTGCCAAGATCTTGTTTCCACACCAATCTGTGTTCTGTTAGGCTATTCTTTTGAACATTTCCAGAGAACAGAGATGCTATGCAGACACTAAAATACAAATTCACAAAACGTAGCGAGATTCCCGCAAATATACATAGGAATATAGAAATAAGATGACCCAAACACACAACTTCTTGAGTCCTTTTTCTAGTTTGTTTAATTTAATCCAATATATTTCTGTGAAGCAAAATCACTTTTATGGTGAGTAATTTCCTGATAGTGCAGGGATATTTAAATGGACTCATCTGTTCCAAATGGAGGCTTCACCATCTGTTCTGGCCTTTTATTACAAAGAGAGAGAGAGAACCTAACTCACTGCATCAGCATTTAAAGGCCTGCATTGGAATGATTTAGGTATATATGTGTGTTCTTTATGCACCTGGTATGTTTTCTCACATACCAAACATAAATCAGTGAGAAGACCTGTCTCTTGTAACCTAATACATTCTCTGATCTAGTGCCTTTATTCCTTTCTCGTGGCAGCAGAAACTGATGGCCAGTAGCTTGCATTTTATTAGGACAATTATGACCCTGTTGGTGTCCGGCAGGGGTTATTATCTTTATTGGGCTAACATTTTGTGATACCATTTACTTCTCTACAGAAAATTATCAACTCCTATTCATTCCCTCTTGCTGGGCCTATATACAAGTCATTGTGGACAGAAATCTTGTAGGAGATGTGCTGAAGACCTGTCAAGATTGCTGAAAAGCTCTGTTCCTCCCCAAAGGATGTCACACAATCTTTTTAAACACCATTTAGAGAAGACCAGAAATTCCAAAATGCATTTCATTGCATCATTTTTCCTTTTTAGAAAGAAAAATTTAGCTGTAGCTTAGGAAGGGGGGTGCAAATTATCTCTCTATACCAGGAGACTGACTGCAGGTGTTAATTCAAAGCAAACCCTGAGGTCCTACCTGTGTTGTAGCCCCTCCCAAGCGCTGGCCAGGGCCGATGGTTCTTCCAGAGATTGCCCAAATACCAATCACTCTGGTTCTCCACCAAGCCAAGAACTTGCTGCCCTGGAAAACGAGCAAATTACAAGAATATCATAAGATGTAAGACAGTCAAGAAATGGAAAACACACAGGAAATCTGGAGAGGGACAACCAGTGGAAGAAGGCAGAAGATGGGGTGCTGCCTTCCTTCCATGCCTTCAGAATAAAGCAGCTTATGTAACAGACAAGCAGGCCTGGCACAACAAATTCAGCACGGCTCATTTCTTCCCTTCTTCCCTGGCTAGCCTGAGTAATTAAACACTGTGGGATCCTTTGTCATGCTGACAGAAATATGTCATCCAGACAAATCTGAATGCTGCTTGATTTTGGAATACAATGATGGAGAATACTCCTACTGAGAATTAAGTGTTGGTAAAATGATCATCTAATATGAAGACCTGTTCATACTCTGATGGAGATAACATAATTGAAGAACAAAGCTCAACATCACAAAGAGTGACTGAGAAAACAGAATGACACATATTATCCCTTTTGCTTAAAAAAATACTGGATTTGAAAAGTTTACCTACATCAGAAAGTTGCACTGTTTTAATTTAAAGAGAGTAATTTAAAAGTCATTTAGGTGAGCCTGTGTAGAATGCTGCATAGAAATTATGACTTCAGTTTTATTTCAGTTTATCTTGAATTGATTAGCAGCTGGCGTCAGCTAGAGTAAAATGTATTTTAAACCAAATGTGTCTAGAAGGTTTGCACTGCTCAAAAATCAACCAAGAAATGAATGTTTGTACAGATAAGGACTTAATTAGGTATCCTAAAATGTGGTGTATAAAATGTAAATAAGAGAAATGATTGAAAGGATGCTGTGGTAATGGAGGATGGATGGAAGGGGAGAATTTGGATTTTTTTTTGCATTTGGATCCAGTCAGAGAAAGGAAAAGGAATGGTGCTTTGAAAGAGGGACATGCTCAGGGAGGGCACTGAGACAAGTACTGGAAATTATTTTGCAACCTTTTGAAAAAGCAATTAAGGATCATGCTTTGAAGGCTCATTTTCAAATCCCAGCTATGCTCATAAAATTGTGTGTATGGTCACAGCAGTGCACTGCAAGCCTGAAATGATCATTGTATGTTGCTTACATAGAATCACAGCTATTTCAGTATGGTCTAACACAAGGTTGGGCTGAGAACAAGACATAAAGACAGATATGATTAACTCAATTTTATAATTGGCTTGAAAAGTGCTTGCAATACTCTCCTGTGGTATCTGTAATTCAGTGGAATGTCAGTAACCCCAATGTGTCTTGAATGCTGTTTCAAAGAGTGTGAGCAGCAGTGATTGGCCAAGGTATATTAAAAAAAACCAAGCCAGAACACTATGAAAGCATTCAAGGAGTGAATGGAAATCAATATAAAAATAACTTTGAGAGATTACCAAATCCACTCCACACTACCCTAGCATCATCCTACTCTATCCTAATGACAACCTGACACTTCTCACCAGACCTTATTTTCCAGTGATGTATCTCCTATTCCATTACACATTTATTATACAGTATATATAATTTTTCATATTAGATCCCATAAATAATTTTAAGAAGGTGGAAAATCTGGGAGAGATCAAAGGGATCATATCAAAGACCCATTGGTGCTACTGAAAACTGGTAATACTAACAGAGTGCAATGCACAAGAAAATGAAGGAAATTACAAGCCAGAAGCAAACACAACCTAAGCAATTCTGTTCATACAGATAAACGACAGCATCTCTCAACCTATGAGACACCTGGAACACACTGGAGATCACATCAGAAATCACAAGCCATATACTGTGAGGAAATATGAAAGGAATCTCAACTGCCTGAATGGAGCCTAAGGCAAAAAGAGCTGAAGGACACAATTTAAACCAACACTTGTTGACTCCAAGCTGGAAGTCTGCCTGTTTATAACCACTCCCTTACAGCTGAAGCAGAATAAATCAAGATAAGAAACATTGGCTAATAAGGGATGAGGAGAAATAAAGAAACCAAACCAACAGAAAATGCAGGTGCAGCTGGGCTGGAATGGGTTGGCACAGTTGGTAGGAAGAGACTGACCCTGCCCATAATCTACTAGCACATTTCACAACCCAGCAGTCCACAGATCCTTCTCAGGGTACAGCTAGCTACAGTAGTACAGCTACCACCAAAAGAAATGTCAGAATTCCTTTTGCAAGAAGCAGATACCTTCTTTATCATGGAGCATCAATCTGCTTTCATTATTTTAGTCTCATGGATTTCCCAACATACTACAGACTTCAGCCTTTAAAACAATGGATAGGGAAAAAATGAACAAACCTTAATGGTTTTCATTTCTCATGTACAAGTCAAAAATCTCAGTTCTAATAACTTACCCCTGAAATACTTATTTCTCAATTATTATTTCTTATGCCAAGATAAACTAAAAAAGGTTCCAGAAATTATGTTGCCATGTATTTACTGTAGTTGCATAATTTCTTTCTGTATTTTCACTTTATTTTTAATGACACGAGAAAAACATCTCACTCTCATCAGTATTCCTTGAGGTTTCATATGGGACACAGACGAAGGCAGAAATGAACATCATGTAAGCTTTAAGGCTCAGATACATGGATCAGATAATGTGACTTACTGTGTATGAACTGAGCTGGAATAACTGCCTGTACATGCCCTTTTAGCTTGTCACAAACACACAGCAAAACGTATGAGCTAACACCCTCTGGTTTGCTATTGCAATGGCCTGGGAATGTGCACCCATTCACACACTGTCCTAGGGTAGAGCATTATGCAACTTGTCAGGCTGTTTTAACTCTTACTGGTGCCTAAAAGCCTATTAGGCAGATGTGATAGCTTGTCTCCCAAGCCACCTTGGAGAAAATTATGGAGATATGCTTTCCATCTTCTCTAGTATATTTCTATTTTCTCTAGGCTGGAATAGTGTTGCTGTCTGTGCCAAAGAATATATTTTATTTTCCTTTACAATTGTCTCTGTGATCTTGACTTAAGGCAGAAGTAATCCTGAACACCAGACCTCAGCTGCATAGCAAATATTAATGTTTCCAAAAAGGTTTTCATCCTGAATCAATACAGAAAAAAGAAAATCAGAAATATTTTCTGGAAGACATTCCCCAAATATTTTGATCTGAAGATATCAAAATAACGTCAAAGAACGTACAACCATCCTCATGTTAAATAATAAAAAACAATGTGACACATAATCAAGATGCATAATATGTACCCTGTAGACCACATTATTCCATGTATCTCAAAGTTCAAACAAAAAAAATTCTGAAGTTGTGTCCTTCCAATTACAACCAACTAAAAATTCACTCAAAAGCTTTCACTCAGTGAAAAGCATTCAGTGCTTTAATGAATTTTTGTTTTTTAAAGAGTCATTGTGAGAATATCTGCCCTGTACCAGCTATTTCATTTAGATATTTACTTTTTCAAGTTCATCACAAATTTACAGACATGAGGCACTGGCCGAAGGGATGCAGGGTGTCAAGCAGGCACATTGAACAGCTCTCTGACCACGACCAGCCTGTCCCTCTGCCACCCTTTATACCTCTCCTGCAAGGTGCTCACTGTTCTGCAGGAAATATCACCAGGTTCACTTCACCTCTGATCATATACCTCAGTCTGAATTCAGGTTTTCTGGGCAGGATAGACTAGAGTTCCCTCCCAGCATGGCATTTTGGAAAAGGCAAGCATCAAAGAGTTATGTGAGCTGTTCTCCCAGCAGATGAGAACACAGTGCCTGCCGTAATGGATTTGTACCTTACAGCATTCTGAGCTGCCGGTTTCTTCTTCCTAAGAGTTATTATAATAAAATACCACAACTAACAGCAAAAGCTCTATCATCTTCTGTTCTGGTCCTGCAGTTATGATTAAGTGCACTCCTCTCACTCTCTGTTACTCCAGGCACAAGTTAGGTTATGAAAATTAAGCTGTCTTTCTTACTTCTTCATACATCACCACTAACAGCCAGACAAGAGAAAACAAGGCTATGATTCTGGCATGACCACTGTGAAAAATTCCCGGGCAGGCAAAATTACAGCTGGATTGCTGAGAATGGGGCTATGTGCTGCCTGGCTGTGGGTTGAGACTTCTCCAGAAAGCAGCTGCAGCCACAGCATTTTGCACAGAACAGCTGTCTGACAGCTCCTGCACGATGAGAAGCTTGGCTGTTGCTGGGAAGAGGTTTCCATGGAAAAACAGACACTTCTGAACTTGACAACTCAGTGCCTTCAATTCTGCTTTTGCTTCACAGAGTTTTGGTGGCTAATGGAGGGGAAAGCATTATGCCGTAACTCAGACATTGAAGGGGACTCCAGACCTTAACTCAGCTCCCAGCTGTGACACTGATTTCTTGGCTGACACTGAACAGCCTCTTGCTCAATTCTCCCTGAAAAAAAACTTTACCCCTCTTCCATTTTGTCTGTCTCATGTGTCGCAAATGTAAGTCCTCAGAGTTAGTAAGTGTGTGCTACTTTCTACTGGAAGGATAAGAGCAGCAGCATGAGGCAGGCTGAAGCTCCATCCAGCACGGAGCGGTCTCGAGCAGCAGGGAGGAGCAACTGTGCAACACAGAGCACAACAGTGCAGCTGTATGGTGGCTCTTCTTAATAGGGGTTCTGTGAATACAGTGACTCATGGCACATGCCACATCTGAAGGAGTATCAGCTATTTTTTATGTTGGGTTGGGTATCTGCTGCTTTTTCTTGGTGCCAGTCTTGGTGCCTGTGAACAATATTTTCCTATTCTGCCCTAATTTTTTCCCAGTTTTAGAGGATTTCATCTTGTCTACAGCCTGATACACAGGACCTTAACCTCAGCTCTTGCCTTGATGTATTTTTCTATAAAAAACAATAAAAATAGTAGTAAAAATTACAGTTATTACAGGTACTTTCAACATCTTTAGTGGAAGCTTTTTTTTTTTTTTTTCTTCAACCTATAGTGGCTTTTACATGACTCCACTGCAATTAAAGTAAGAGCACTGGACCCACTGCTAACACTTTGTGTGAATTGCACTCTCAGGACATCAGATGGTTTC